TAGTAAGTGTTCTTACTATGAAATAGTGTATGAAGTACAGCACATGCAAAATAAACTGACTTAATCATTCCTGTTCCATCCCTGTATATGTGTATGTATCATGTTGAGCAGCATACATATATAAAATTTTACTTATCAATCAAAATAAGTATTTTAAAATATACATTAGGATAATAGAATTTTAATTTTGCTTGTTAAAATTAGAAAGTTAATCCTTCATCTATCAACAACCAATAATAAACATGTTAGTCTCTGAGAATAGCTTATATTCTTTAGAGAGTGGTAGGAATATTCTAAACTTGCCCTAGAATATATAACCCCTCATTGTTCAATGTCACCAAAATCTATATTCCCAATGTCACCCATTCTCTCTCCAGACAAAAATGGGCTCTCACCTAAAGACAGTAATGCTCTGTAGCTGTAGTGGGGTATGTGTGAGTGTGTGTGTGTGTGTGTTTTCTCCACTATTTTTTTTTAACATGGGCCCTGGAAGTAGGGGTAAGAGTCTTCACTGCCCTTTATATTTTCTAGATCAACACTGTTCAAAATGCTAGTAATCAACCAGCAGGGCAGTTAACCCATAGCTAAGCCAAATGGAGATGTACCTTCGTTTAAACTGCACTGAGGATTTTGGAGACCACATGCATAAGCAAAAATGTATTGTATTTCAACTTGTAAAAACAGATTATATTTTAAAAGGATGATTTTAGATATACTGCATTAAAGTATACAAAGTTAATTTCACCTCTTTCCTATTTCTTTAAATGTAATTTCTAGAAAATTTAATATTCAGCTTCTGACTCTTATTTTGTTGCATTTGGATAGTACTCTTACTCAATTCTTCTTCCCTAAGAAATCCCAGTTCTGAATCTCATATCATCTGATCATGTCTCTCTTCTTGATTATTGCTATAGTTTTAATTTTTAGTCTTGGCTACTTCCCTTCATAACTTAAAGCACTTAACTTCTAAGTCACCTACACTTTTTTCAACAATATTGTCTTAATTCATGGTCAGTTGTGTGAGCATTGAAATGTACCTTCTAGTACACTTACTTCTGGTTTCCTTGAACTAATTTCTACTATCTTGTTTTCATAGCTACCTCAATTACTTAAGTTTATGCCTACATCTTAATCTTGTCTATAACAACAGTTACAAACACTTCATAATCTCTCTCTTATCTGTCTGCCCCAGACCCATTCAGCCTGACTCTTGGAATTCTTCATCTTTTCCAATACTTAGATGTATTTGCCATGATCTGTTTCTGTCCTTCAGTCCTTGTTTCATTCATCATTTGTTCAAGAAATATGTTCTGGACTCCCATTATGTACCACACTCCATCCTAAGGACTAGAGATGGGAAAATCTCTGCTTTTGTGTAATTTGCAATCTAAGGATTATGACTAATAATAGCACAAGCTAAATAAGTCATTAGTTTGGTATTAGATTATGAGAAATGCTAGGGAGAGAACTTAAGGCTGGAAAAGGGAATTTGAAATGTGGATGATGGGAAGTTTTCAACAGATGACCAGTGAAGGAAGAAAAGAAGCCAGCCAAGTGCTTATTATAAAACACAGTTTTTCAAGTAGGAGGGACTGGCATATTTGAGAAGTAGAAGATAAAATTTTACTATAAATGAAAAAAATTAGCATATATATTGAAATATTTTTTAAACAACAGAATGTGTAATTTCGGGAAGTATTTAATTTCTCCCGACTCCCTATTATCTATTTTGCTTTTTGTGTATGTGCATTCATATACATATACATATATATGTAATTTTCATATAAGAGAAACCATGTGATATTTGAGCTTGTGTCTGACCTATTTCACTTAGCGTTATGTTCTCCAGTCATATTCATTTACCTATGAATACCTCAAATTTATCTTTCTTTATGGCAACATAGTTCATTGAAAAAAAAGTTCGTGTTACCTGTTTCCTTTTTGTAAGCAGTTGGACACATGAGCCTGGTGTTCAGGACACAGCTGTTGAATCCAGCACTCCCATAGTACTGTTTTCCTACTGTGCCTACTGATTTCTAATTCACTTTTAGCATCTAGCCTCCTAAAGCTCTTTGAAAAGGCCAGAGGCTGGTAACTTCTATGGCTTGGCTCCAGGCTGCTCTCTGAAACAGCCCTTACCAACCCCTGCCCCAGGTGTCCCCCTGTGTGGCTTACTCCCTCCATCTCTGTTAAATTGTTAGTGTTGCTCTCTTACTTTCCCAGTGCAGCCTATTGTAACTACCTTATTTAAAGCTGAAGTGTGCTCCCAACTATCATGTTTGATCCCCTGTTTCTATTATGTTCCTTAGCATTAACTGCCTTTTCTACATTCTAGCTAATGTACAGTACTTAAGTTTTGTCTAGTGTATATCGTCTTCCATTAGGATATCAACCCTGTGTAAGAAGAGACATTTGCTTTCTTCACTGATATATCTTAAATGTTTGTAGTATTTCCTAGTGCATGATAGATGATCAATAAATACTTACTGATTTGTTGATGTTAGTCATTGAGTTAAAAATTAAAGCTATAAATTTGTCAAATGCACATTTGAGATAATAAATGTGATGTTAACTTTTGAAACTTTTGCCAAATGAGGAAGTACGATTTTGTAGGAATTAGTTGATATTATCTCAGCCCCATAATCAGCTTCTTTCCCCTCTGGTTGATATTGTCAGTTTTTATCCTGAATTTTTGTATGCTTAGGGAAAGCTCAGTAAATGCCTGTCTATCTACTGTGTTGCAAACACTCCTGGTAGCTGTGATACATGTGCTTCCTTTGGAAGGAAACACACTCAAGTATATTAAAGGTTACAACAAAGCATGACTAAGTGGTGTTAGGTGTAAATGCACAGGGCTTTGGCTTCACATTGAGAAGTCACTTTGCTGTCCATATATTGTCTGCTTTAGCTTGAACACCCTGTCCCAATGCATTACTGTCTGAAAGACAGAACTCCAGCCTTGTAAATCCACCAAGGAGTAGCTTCTAATTCTTTCATCTTTGAATACCATGTATTACTCACAGCTACAACTGGAGAACTGCCGAAATGACTGGAATCTCATCCTTCACCTACCCCACCTGCAGCTTGAATTGATCTGCTAATGTTTTTAATCAATCTTGCTAAATACTTCCTGTAGGGAAAATGAGTAGTGATGAGAAGTAATCTTGCCATTTCTGTCTTCTGAAAAATTCAGTGACTGATTTACAGATACTACTTATTCATCGTGGTAACCCATTGTAGAAGATGGAAATTAAATTTCAGTTTTAAAGGTTATGGGATCCCTCAAGGCCCAGAGTGTAGTGATGAAAAATTGCAAACCTGAAAGAAAGGATTCCAGAATCTGCACAGTGAATAAACTTCTCTCAGGTCTTGCTTCTGGTGTGAATTAGGATTATGTTCATAGGAATATCATAATATTCTTTTTACTGGAATCCTAAAATTGTCTCTATATTTCTTACACCACTTCCTTTGTTGTATTTCTCAATTTAAAGCAAAATTTTCTTTTTGTTTTCCTAAGGCCGTTTATATTCTCTAGGACTTACCCAATTGTCCTGGAGTAGGCATCCCAAAGACTTCCTAAGCACCAGCAAGCTATTTACCTAACTTAATACCCCAAATGGAAGCATCTCTTTGGCAAGTTTAATTGCTTACAAGTTACTTCCTTCCTCCAGAGAGTAGCAGATGTTATTCAGAGTAATACATGCTTCCTAGGGCAGTAGTTCATTATGGTCTCCAAATCTAAATCTTGGAAGCATCTTATCAAAAGTAAAAATTCTTGTTCTCCCTTATATTTTAGTAAGACTGAAAATAGTGGGCTGGGGATTTAAATCAGTGGTTCTGCCGCCTGCTTTGCAAGTGCAAGGACCCGAGTTCAATCCCCACTACCAAAAAAATAAGTAGAAAACATTCTCAATTTCTTACTCCTTTTGCATGATTTCTTTTTAATGTTTTCATAAGTCCCATTTTGACTGATATATTCCCACAGAGTGGCAGTGGATCTGTTAGGCTGATGAGTCTTGCAATGTCTTCATGTATTCATTCCTAGAACCCTTATGCATTCTGTATAGGCTAGGCACTACTCAAGGTAACAGCTGTGACCATTAACCAAAAATTAAAAAATGAAAACAAACTTTGGATTTTTGAGCTAACCCTACTTATTTTTACTCTAGGAATTGAGTAGGTTCTGTTGGTGCTTATGTAACAGGTTGCTCTAAAATCATGCTGTCTTTATGGTCACGTTATCTAAGCTTTTTAAATGTGCTTTTTAAATCCTAAAAGTGAAATAATGTCTATTGTTGAACAGGTGTACCAAATAGCATAGTTATTACTGTCACCCTTTATACATATAAGGATTTCTTACAGTATTTATTTAAACTCTACTTTCTCTTTCATCATCAATATACCAGCTTTAGGTGGGAGGTGTAGTTCATTGGTAGAAGGCTTACCAGGCATGTGCAAGGCTCTGGGTTCACTCTCCAAATGTGTGTGTGTGTGTGTGTGTGTGTGTGTGTGTGTGTGTGTGTGTGTGTGTGTGTGTGTGTGTGTGTGTGTGTGTGTGTGTGTGTGTGTGTGTGTGTGTGTGTGTGTGTGTGTGTGTGTGTGTGTGTGTGTGTGTGTGTGTGTGTGTGTGTGTGTACATAGAGATGCCAGTTTTAACTCTGAGGGAACATCATACATTAGAGAAGATATCTACACAAAAGGAACACGTAAATCTATAAATGGCTGTTTAAAGGAGGAGTTAGCTAGTTTTCCGTGTAAATAGGCAAATGGGAAAGACTAAATTTGTTCACAAAAGAGTTGATCTTTACACCTCACACTAATTATATGAATTTGAATGTGAACATTTATTTAATTTCTGCACCGAACAACAGAAATTTTATCTGTTTTGTTCATTATCAAATAGAATGTAAGATTGAAAGCTCTTTTCAGGGGCTTGATTCTGTTTAATTAATTTAAAATTCTTTAAATGTGTGACTCTCAGTTCTACCTGCCTTGCTTAGGTTGATGTAATTGTGACACTGGGAGGCCTTGCTGGGCGTTTTGACCAGATCATGGCATCTGTGAATACCCTATATCAAGCTATTCACATTGTTCCTGTGCCAACTATAATAATCCAAGAAGAATCTCTCATCTATCTTCTCCAACCAGTAAGTGAAAAGTAAATATAATTAGCTCTTTGCTTCCACAAAACTTCAAGCAGTGAAGTATGTGAGGAGAAAACATCATCAGCTAGCCTTTCTGGTGTCTTTTGACCATGGTTGCCTACTGACTGGCTACATTCATTGTCTGCTGCCCCGAGTCTCTGAACAACACAAATGTAGAGAAGCCTCCAAGTTTTCATTTCATTTGCAGCCAAAAGGGAAAAAAATTGTGACTTCTAATTAAATTGACTAAGAATTAAATTAAGCCTTTTGCATTTTGAGCAGCAGAATGTGAATGACACTTGAGAGCAACTTCAACAGGGAAACACAAGGGTTGGCAAATATTTCATTGGAATTTTCATATGTTTGGAGTGTTGTCGGTATAATTGGAAACTGGATTTTGATTTTGTCAAGCACCTAAAGGGAAATCTTTAGCTTTTACTATTCATAAGTTGCTTGATTATTAAATTTGACTCCCTTATATAAATTTCTAATGATGGTGTCATTCATTTCCAATAATAAGCATCAAAGAAAATTTCTACCAATGCAGCACATACAATAGAATTCTTATTAAATAAACAAATTGTGTATACTTAATTTGTTGATTTATTTAAGTTTCAAATAATCTTTTGGTAACATTTTTGTGAAGATAGTAGACAATTATTTGCCTTTTTGCCTCATGTACTGTACTACTAATAGTTTGCATCTGTTTTATTTGTTATTTGCCATCTTTACCATCCCATTACTTACAATTGTTGTTTGGTTAGTATTATGCCCATGTGTGCTCATCCTTGTTCAAGAAATTTGGCAATTTTTCCTGGCTCTTTGCATTGCCTAGACTTATGGCTACCTAGAGTAAATGTAGAAGGGAAGCAGAATTTAGATTTCAAATCCCCATGCTGTCACTTTACTTAGTAAACAGATAGATTAACCTCAGGCACTGCATAACTGTTTGCTAAGTAAAGTGATAGAAGCTAAGGATAAAAAGAGGTAGTCCCATTTGACCTTTGCTTTCAAATTCATGTCCAATGAAGAGGACATGTATAAACTGTAATCCTAATGTGGTACTAAAAGATGAGTGCATAAAGATGATCAGAGAGTAAGTAATTGGAGTATTGGGTAGTAAGGAAAGTACCTTCACAGATGCACTCAGATTTTCTTCATTCAGTTAGTTCAATACATACTTGTTGAATATTAGGGTGGTTTCCAAGGATTAAACAGTCTGGAAAGCACACAAAAAGTCTGCTTTCATGGAGCATGCATTTCATTGCACATACATTTGAACAGAACCTTCAAGGGTGAGTAGGTGTTTGCTCTGGGAGATGATAGGAAAGTCCTAAGAGTAGCCAGGAAAGGAACAGGGAAGTACAGGACATACTGTAGGAGGTACTTCTGTACAGCTAGATTATGACTTAAAGGAGGGAAAAATGATAGAAGACTCAAGGATCTCTTGGATACTGACTGAAAAGCCTTGAATTTCACATTGTGGAGTGTGAACTTCTGTTAGATGTTATGGGAAGTCATTAAATGATTTCACTTATTAGAGTGACTTGCACAGACGTGTTTTACAGAATTTTTCTTGAATTATGTTTGTTAAATTCCCTTGTTCCCCTAATGTGATAGTGCATTCCATTTAGTTTAGTTGAGCTGGTGTGGTAGTGAATGCTTATAATCCCAGCACTAGGCATAGGCAGTAGGTTACAAGTTCAAGCCCACCTTGCTCAATTTAGCAATTTAGCAATATACTCTGACAAAACAAAAACAAAATGAAACAACAGAAAAATACAATAAATAATGAATGAATGAATGGAGTATTTAATTCAGTGTGAAGTCACTGGGTTCAGTCCTCCACATTGCCAAAAATAAATGGATGGATGGATTGTAAGCCACTGTTGGCGGGAATACAGTTAAATGCCCCAACACACGGTGGTACAGACTAGAAAAAGAAGGCTGTTAGCCAGGAAGAAAGGACACTGTGTGAACTCAGAGCACCATCTCTGTCTCAGCCACCAGAAACTGACATGTAAAAAGAAATTCTGGAATTCTGACTCACATAATGTATAGGACTCTGTTGTCAAACGTGTTGTTAGTTGTGAAAGCCGAATCCCAGTTCTCCAAATGTGTTATGTTTACCTGCGTAGCCTACATTCTAAAACACAGCACCTGTACATTCTCCCCATGGTAATTTTGATTTGATGTCATTGAAATGACTAGAATATTTACCTTATCCTAGAGAGGCAAGCATTTTATAGCATGGGGCCAGAAGTTCACAGAAGACCACATCTTCTGCCATGGCAGGGGTGTCAGTGGCTGGGCACTGGCTCCACCCAGGGTTAGTGGATTAACAGTTGAGCTTGTCCTTTGCCATCCTGGTCTCAGGACATCTCAGTCCTCTGCTGCTCTACCACTTTTCCCAAGAGAATTCAGACATCCCTAATACAAATGCAAAAGCCACAGTGATTTTGATTTGGGGTTAATATATGACTAGATCTTGAGTGATCTATCATATATTTAAGAAGTATGCAAAATGTAGTTAATAATAAAAAACAGTTTAAGGCTATACTAAAATTATTTTACAGAAGTATTCCACAACTGATAAATGGGACTTGTACCAATGGACTGAACTGGCTCTACCATGTGTGTGTTCCTCATGTGACACCCTATCACATGTCTGTGTTAGATACATACTAGACTGTGCATTGCACAGGTATTATGCATATTTTGAGGCCCCATATTCATAATAATGGTTCACAGATTACTGTTCACTAGGGATCAGGCTGGGCAGAAGAAACATTACAAATTTAAATTGAAAGCATTTCCAAATATTCTGGGAAGTAAGCTGAAGATAGTTTATCTCATTCAGCAACAAATAATTACTTTAAGTTTTTAAAATTTACTTTTAGAACATTAACATCTCAGTGTTGAGAAGAAAAATAATATTAATGCTTTTACAAGAATGCTCTTATTTGTGCTCACAACAGTACTGTAAGAAAGGCAGGACAGATAACATAGTCACGGATAAAGGGTTTTGACTCAGCACTTTTCCCATTACACTGTATTCCCTCTTTTGTGGGGTTAATGCACTAAGGTACAGATGACAAGGTCTTTTTTTTTTTTTTGGTGCTGGAGATCAAACTTGGGTCCTTGCCCTTGCAAGGCAGGTGGCAGAACCACTGAGCTAAATCCCTGGCCCGACAAGGTCTTAAAACTAGTCATAGCACATTGTCTTAAAATTGTTCATGGGCATTGTATAACCGAGTGGGCAGTGTGTGTGTATATATATATATATCCTTCACAGCATCATTTCAAATAAGAGCAGTCTTGGGTGCAGTTTAAATGTATTCCATGGGCTGGGGATTTGGCTCAGTGGTTCTGCCTACTTTGCAAGCACAAGGGCCCGAGTTCGATCCCTAGGACCCCCCCAAAAAAATAGCTAAAGCAATGTGGGAATAAATGTATTCCCAAATAATAAGTGACTTTTTAATTAAAAAAGCTATAACAAAGTCTAAGCATAATAATCAGCTTTTCTATATAAGCTTATTAAATGTGATTACTATTCAGCCTTCTTAAGGTACATTAAAAGTGGTTAATATAAATGTTAAAAAGTGAGATTTAGGTTTAAGAACAATGCCTTTTAGAATTGTTTTATAATAGATTATCTGAAATAAAAGATATTAACAAGAGGAGTAAGTCATCTTAATCCTACAGAGTCTATTTACAGGGTAAATATTTTAGTGCTGTAACAAGAGAACTTGTACTGCACCTACCATATGGATGTTGATTGGCTACAACAGTCCTAGACCCTAGAACTAAAGTGTTATTCTCTTAATCTTTTAAAAATATTCCTGCCCTCTGTTGTCTTAGTGTTTCTGTGATGTTTTGTGTTTCTTTTGGAGATTGCACTTGTGCCACTCTCATGTGACTAGGTTGCATAAATAAATAATCTCTCATTGATTAGTATTATATTAGTCATGCAACTCACTTTAAGTCACTTAGTGTGTTCCAGTGTAACATTTACATTCTCTTTTCAGTCCCCTTTCTGTCATTTATTTGCATTAATTATAAATTACATTATAAAACAAAGATACAATAATGTAATTCCAGGTCTATATGAATATTATTGAGTTATTAGCATATAAGTGTTTTGCATTGTATCTCAGCTTATTTCAATTGCTGTAGGTCAGAATGTCATTATGAGTTAAAACCTCAGGAGGTAACAATTTGGAAAGAAATGGTCAATCTTCCATTTGAAAATGGAAAATTAAAAAAAGGACGCATACTGACTCCTCCCTTAAAAATAAACACACCTCTTTTACTTCCACATATGTGTTCTTGATAAGAGAATTACCTCACATGAAGAGAAGCCTTTATGGAGCAGAGGTGAGACCTTGTGGACACGAAGTGTCACTGATCTCCCCACCTAGTTGAGCTATGTTCCTGATGGCAACGTCTGTGCTCAGGGCAGTGTTTAGCATGCAGCCCATGATGGCTGTGAACAGCTTCAGGTTCCACGTACACATTTTCTCATTTTCTGGTCCCGTGCTTCTCAGGAGTATGGAAACATTAGCTTCTGCACACTGAGCATAAATTATCTTTTATCTCCAAGTTTGATGGCAGTTTGTAATACAAGTTAATAGGATTTATGACCAAGAAATGAGATGTCCAGGAGTTAATAAGGCGTGCCTTTTACATTTCCCTAAGCCTGTTCAGTGATTCCTACTCAGGATCCCAGTCTCGGATGTAGGAGACTGGTGTTACACGACAGACTTCTGTCATTTCTAGTCTCACTTGAACACACTTCTAAATGCGTTATAAATATGTCTTCCTTGTGATCTTAGTGATGTTTTACTGCTACTTGTTTTTCAGCTTAAACTAGATTAATCATTTACTGGATAATTTCTGACATTTTATATATTCTACATTTGTAGTGCTGGTTGTCAATATGATAAAATATGTCAATAGTCTGATAGAAACAAGCTGAATGTTCATAAAGTAAATTTGGCACA